AAACGCTCTGCTTTGAGTACAGGCACTGATTTTTATAGGGCCACATCCTGGCTAGAGCATCAGCTGGCCCCTTAGCCAGATAGGTGACAAAATTCATTGACACTTAAGATCTTTACACGGAAATGAGCCACCTCTCTATTTTAGTCTGAGGTTCAAGCAGAAGTTTTATTTATCACACAAGCAACGTTTTTTTGTTATAGGTATATTTCGCTATATGGGTTTATAGGACCTAATGAAAACTTACTTCATGCCTAGGAATTCCTAGCCATATGAAGGGTCACTTACTGAGGGCAGGATCGCTCATATATGGCAGAAAGAATAATTTCCTCTACTACAGCAATTACTGGCAAAAATCAATGACCCCTGTTAAGCTGGAGGCCAAGGTAAGTAAATATAATAGTGCTTTCTAGTTTTAAAAACTCCCCGAGCCTCAGAGGCATGCCTCCCTTCACACATGGATCGCAGACAACTATCTAGCCATCTAGACAAGATTCCTACTAGGACACCAAACTTCCTTGTATTTCAAGGTCAAAAAATTTATTTTAGTGCAACTGAAATGCAACCTTTAGCTAGCACTGAGATTGTCTAATTGATGGAGAAGAATCTCCAAAGACTTCCTGCAGTTTAAGTGTAAGTGCTCACATATAAATTACACTAGTGTTACGAACACAGTGTCAGACAGCTCGGGAGACTCTTCAATCACAGAACTCGGCGGTGCAAAAATAGTTCAGCTCTGATTCAGAAGACTCAGCTCAGCTGGTGTGCCTGTCCCCATGCCTTTTCAGAGCAGTGCCTCCTGAAACTGCTAACTTAACGGTCACTTTGACTTTTTGTTTGCCAAGGACACGGGCCCTGAGGAAGAAGCGGGCTAAAGCCATTGCATTCATGGCACAATTATTGCTGCTCTTCACCTTTTTCATTATTACCTTTTTTTCCCCTCTGTAGACTCAGGCTGGGAAGCAGACAGACTGGCCAGCTCTACCCTTCTGCTTGCAGTGCACTACTTTTTGAAGTGGCTTATTGCTCCACTGCTTTTTTTTCAATTCTTAAGCCAAATGTGCAATGATGGATTTGGCAGCCACGCTCTCGCCAGCCACCCCCAGTCAGCTCAGCAGCAGTATCTCAGCTGCGGGGGGGATGCAAAAGCTGCTCCCTCCCTGTTCTGCAATGGGAGACAGTTTCTCTATCAGAAACATTGAGGTTAGTCAACAAAGGAGGGTCTCAAGGAAGCTGCAAGAGCGAGTTTATCTGTATTTGCAAAATTTACAACTATGTGACGTGCAAATGGTGGCAGGGATCTGCGTGCATGGAAGGGTCTGCCTTCCCATCGCTAACCTCGTAAACCAACTGGTGGTGCAAATGCTGAACCACCTCATCATCTTTAAACTGCAGATCGAAAGCATCCAAAGTGCAAAACTTTTCCCTGCATTTGTTTGAAACCTTGGCACATTACCAGCATCGTTCAAGCACAGATCAGGACTCAGTGGCAGCCAAACCTGCACCCTGCTGATTAGCATGCCTCACAGTATCTAACAGACATTTGACTTAAGAACCCAAGAATTTCATTGCTCAAATGCTTTATTAGATCCCTAAGCCTAAAATTGGTTTTCAATAATATGTGTGTTGCTTTGGGGCCTCAAAAAAGCTACTCTGGGAGCTAGGAAACATTTCCTAGGAGGCAAAAATGTGATCAAAAACATATTTGATAAAAAGAAGAAGGGGTAATGATGGTTTTTAACTGCAATTTTACTTTATTTCGTCTCAGAAGCGTGCTCTAAGTTTATGAGAGGGGAACAACTATTGGATTTTGTTTTGCATCGTATTTAAAACAAAATTATTCTCATCTCGGGTTGGTGAGTTTTTTTCCCCCTAAACCCAATAAACTATATATTGGAATGACCTTGTAACAGGTTTCTGTGGCTCTTTAATCACCAGTGGCTGCTAAATGAAGCATATCTATTTTCTCTGTTACATTACTATTGGCAACCAGGTCTTCAGTAAGTGCCCAGAAATATTTCCATGGCAACAAAAAGCACTCAGCATTGCTACTGTTTTGTGCCAATTTAGCTTTAAAATATTCTATTGTGGAGAGAAATACAGTACATTAAGTGAAATAAAGTCAAGATGCAATGTTCTGAAAAGAATATAAGGATAAACAGGAAACAGGTATTTTGCAGAAATGGGGAAAAAAAATGCCAAATGGAAGGAAAAATGTTCAAAGCTAATATTGATGTTACTGAACGCCTTTGCTGAATGTCAGCAAGTCCATATGCTCGCTTGCATTGTCACTTAGGGTTAGATAACAAAGCTAACAGAAATAAGGATACCTCAAACATTTTCTCTTGATCATTTTAATCCATGACTGAAATTTTAAGTTGCCAGGGTATTACAGCCTCTCTGCTTGTCTAGGTTACCATCAGAAGAGTTCATACTCTGGATGTTAGAGAACGAATCTAAAGGAAAAAGATGAAATAAAGAGTTGAAAAATGAAATGCAAAGAGCACGTGTGTGTTTTGGAAGTGAAGGGTCACTTAGAAGAGCAAAACCAGTTCTTCCACATCAAAGATCTCGTGGAAGACACTTTCAAATCACAGTTCAGCACTTTCTCTCCTATTATACAACTTATTTTCTGAGAAAAAAAGGCATCAGCTCCCAGCCCTCCAACTCTCAAACAGCCAACTGCATGACTATAAAGTCTTGAGATCACTGAATGGCCCTTTGTGCAATGCATTGCAGAGATAAAAAGATAAACGACTACTTGAGAGCATTTGGGGTGACATTCCCTCTGGTCTAAAAAGCTATGCAATGCCCTCCAAAGCGCTTCCTGTGGAAGTAGAGAGCTCTAGGCAGCAGCAATGTAGGTGCTGGGGAGCTCTGTAAGGCCAGCCTTCCAGCCCACAACGGCTCCAGACAGCTTACTGAGAAGGAAAGCCAATAAACATTAAGACAGAGTCCAACAGCAACTTGATAAGTACCTGCTCTCAGCTAGGAGAGGGGTTCAGAGTGACACTGTCCTTCAGCTGCAGCGATAAGTCACTCTGGCATCTATCTGACTTTCACTCTATGTGTCTCTCACCAGGAAAATTAATCTGGTCCATCACATACTCCTATGGACCTTCTTTCTCAGATGTCTCTGCAGACAAGACTGCGGGTGAGAAACTGCTCTGATAGTGACAGAAGCCCATTCCTGGCCCCCATTTCCCCGAGACCTCACCACTTTTTCTTCCCTCCACTGTGATCAAGGGTGTAGTTCAGAGACAGGACAAAGATCTGGAGGCCACCATCGGAATAATGCGTTCGGCAGGTGGCTGCTCCCCAGCCTACTCAGAGGTGCCCCAGGATTCGCCACAAATTGCTCTAACAGCCTCTCTTGGGGGTACAGGCTCTGCAGGAGACAAGGCTGCGCCCTGGTTAGCACTTGTCTGGGAGGATCCATGGCCCCAGCACCTCCTGAAAAGACACTATATGCCCTGCTCCATGGTGTCTGTGCACACACTAGACACATAATCCAAGCACAAGCAGTAAATCCAGCCCCGCAGCACTGACTTGGTGCCTATGAACAAATCCTGTGGGCAGGATATTGCACAGGTGATGTACAGGGGTACCAGAAGGTAGGGGATCTGTACAGGTTAGAGGTTGGGTGGGCTCCAAGAGATACAGCTCTGGGGTGCTTAACCTGAGAACTGGCAATCGTTCACTTGGAATATGAAACAAGCAGTTCCAGTTTGGCAGACAGAACAGCTAGACCAAAAGCTCCTTTCAATTATTTACTCCCCGGGCATAACAGTGTGAGGAATAGTAATAAAGAAAAGAGCTAATTTTAACATGCATTAAAGAACACCGTCAAGGTTTATACCCTCTCAGTCTGATTTTCCTATTAAATACAAAAACAAACAGGCTGGTCTTCCGCAGTTTGCACAGAAAAGACTAAATATGTAAGACTTCCCTAGAAGCCAAGAGTGATGAAAAGCTCTTGGTCATTATAAAACAAACATTTTCAAGAACATCTACTGCCTGCTTCAAAAAAAAAAGAATTTAGATATTGAAGCCAAATCCTGAAGACCCTCAGTGAGTCTCAAGTTCTTCATCAGCTCCATATTGTAGCCCCACTCTCCTGCCTTATCCCCCTTCCTAGGACGTTCGTAAACAGCAGCTTTAACTCAGCAAGACCCAAGGACGGCGTCAGCAGGACTGCAGCTTTCCTGCCTGTGGTTGGGACACATGTCCCCATCAGTTCTCTGTGACCCAGGTAACTTGCAGCCACATTTAGAGCGATACTGAGTGAGTACAAGTCACATGGCTGAAATTCAGTCCTGAACACAAATCGTCTGAAAAGCTGCTCATGTCACTCAACGATCAGAAGTCATAGTTAGCCCTATTTAAAACTGAAAATATCAAATTCAGTTCTCCTTCTCATAATCTCCTGCCTGCTGTCCTCTTCGGTCTCGTTTGAAAAGCCTGTGGGGGTGGTGGGAGGAGAGGAAAGCGATTTGGGAGCCTCTCATCCATAAAATCATGAGATATGGCTGGCTTTTTAGTACAGCATTTCACAGCACATGGCATAGTAACATCTTGAGATTCCTGGCACAAAGAAACAAGGTTTGAGATTATATATATATCTTTAATAGCAATGACGCAAAGGCAGATGGTTCTCAAAGCAAAGGCTTAAGGCGAAACACTCCCTTTGCAGGGTCCTGCTACCAGAAACAAAAGATGGGGGAGCAAAATACTCCTTGCTACAGCAAAAGGGCCCAATTGCTTTCTAATATACAGCATTTCACCCTGGAGATTTCCACTTATTTCAATGAGATTAGTCTCACAAAGGAGAGCAGAATTGGAAACAGAAGAGGAAAGGTTAGATTTTGGTTTGAGGAGTTTTATTTTAGCTGTGGGAAACAACAGCAACACAGAACATAATGAGCAGATTGGCAACTAAATCGAATCAATACCAGAAAAGACAGGTCTAGATAATACTGTCAGGGTGCGTGCTAGCTGCTTACCTGCAAAACTTGCCTTGCCATTATTACTTTTTAAGGAGCCACCCAAGCTGAGGTTGTGCTTATGACCTCCCATCCTCCTAGAGGGCTCACCTTCTTCCTCAGCGATGGGAGGAAGACGATCAAGCGGCTGGAGATCTTCATTCGTCCAGTAGGATCCATTGGCTATCAAAGACCCGGTGCTTTCAACATACTGCTCTGGTAAGCTGCTGGTATTTTTAACCTGTTTTTGCTGCTGCAGACCCATGCCAGAGCCACGAGGGAGGTCTTGTGAAGCAAGATCAGGACCCCTAATGTGATCATCTTCTCTAGGATATAAGTATTCCTCATCCCAGAGGTCCAGGTGTCGTTCATCATCTGATTCCTCAGAATAATCCTCATAAACTCCTCCATTATTCTCCAAGTCCCGGTTCCTCTCGTCTTCTGACTTACGACCCACTCCACTCAAATTCAGCAGTGAAGCAGATATAGAGTCTCCTGCTTGTTGGATAGCTTCGTATATTTGAGACATCCAAGAAGACAGTGGCTGAAGGAAATTCTGAGCAGCCTCAGAAGCCATGTTTAACACTATGCCAGTATCTGGTGATCAGTTGCTCAGCTTTGGCAGCATGTCACGTATAATTCAGGGAGCTACAGAATAAGCACCATAAGAGATTACTGTAAATTGCTTGTCCATCAACACCTGTCGACACACTATCTACGTGAGACGTCTAGAACTGAGAGAAGAAATGGAAAAAGCACTTCAACCCATTGAGAATACCACTAGAAATCCAGAAATGATGGACAAATTACACATACTCCTGCAGAGATCTGAAAAGCTTTCATTCACTTGCTAAACCTTATATAAAAATATAAACATAGAACATCAGAACAGAAGTACCTTTTCTGAAGCGCACGCATTCTGGTTACAGCAGTCAACAGACCTGGTAAAAGAAGTACAAAATAATCTGCAGTCAAAAATCTCAAACAATCTCTTGGCCCTGACTTCCACCACATCCTTAGCATTAGCATGTCCAGATGGGAAAACTGAAGGGTGAAGAATCTGGGAAGAATTATGTTTTGATTAATTAAAGCGACAGGCCTGAAGCATGTAGAACTAGCCCATGGTAGTCAACTATCTCAAACGCTTTGGTCCAGAAAGGCTCTGAAGAAGTCCTCTCTGCCCACAAGAGTAGCATAACCCAGAGTTGTTTTGCTCTTCACAGAAATGAAAAAAAAAACCATAAATCACAGAAGGTGGAATATTATAGGTATGAAATTATTGGGAACAGAAGAAAGTCAACAAAAGCATTGGTATCATGTCAATATGATATGTCTTCTCAAAACTCATCTAAACCCTAAATAAAAACATAACTTGCAGAAAGTTAAGGTGTCCTTTTGCCTGAGATATATCTTCCCACATTATCACAAGACAGATATTCTTTTAGGAACTCTGAGAAAGGAGAAACCTACAAATAGGATGATGGGTTTAGGAAGAAAGAATTAAATAGTTGTAGATTTTATGCTAAAAGACAAGTAAAAGAAGCAAAAAGAAGCTTCAGAATTAATACCAGTGTCTTGCTGAATTTAGAGGTCTAGGAGCAATCAACCTACAAAAAGGGTAAATATAGTATAAGCAGCAAGAAAATAAGTTCAGCAGCAACGTGTATTACCCTGTGAAATTGTCTCCAGAGAAACGTAGTGGGAATCACGGGGTTTTGGATTTTTAAACGGAGCATGGACTAAGGAGATCCCACCTTGCTTGGTGAGCAGCTTTTTTACAGATGAGATGAGTGACTTCAGAGGTCTTTACCTTTTGAAATACCTGTGCCGAATAATTTTGTTCAGTGATGTTGACTTACACTGCAGACACTTCCAACAAGTTTATTGTCAGCTTCAGTGTGTACTAAGAATTACAACCCTAACAAGGGCAGTAGATGAATTGTAGGTTACTAAAGCCACTTTAAAAGCCTATGGCTTTTACAAACTCACCAGGCTCAGGGCACACACTGTTCCAGTCAACCTGCCAACCACGGGCCTCTGGCTCAGACACTGGGACCCAGGTAACGCTCCCTGCCACGCATTAAATCTTTGGCAAAGAACAGAGAATGTCATGGCATAACCTACCAGGGAGCTCTTCCCTTCATTGACTCTCCTCTTTCCAACCCTGCCCTTGTTGAAGCCTTTTTGCTTTGTGCAACTTATTTTCTCATAGACCTAAACTGATGACGTGCTCCAAACCACACATTTTCAGCATAATGGAGATTTGCTACTGGTAAGTCACTGCACCACAAAAGGCACTGGGAGGAAACGGTACTTGTAACAGTGAGATTCTTCCAGGTGTGGAAGGAGGTAAATTTGAGTGGGTAAATACTGGATACAGGATGCATTTTTAACCTGTCATTTATTTACAGGCAATAGCCAATGAATCTCTGATTTTTTATGAAAGGCAGACTTCATAACGCTCTGCCTCCATCTCAGCAGCAAGATATATGAAGGCAGCAGCCCTTGGAGGGATGCAGGCATCCAGGAGTGACAGCTAACCAATGAAGATAAAACATATGGATGCTAAAACGAAGCGCTGATCTGTTCTAAAAATCAACAGAACATAGACTTGTGATATTTGCACAGGGAATAATTAGCTCTTCCTGTTATTAGATTTCAGAGCTAACACTCAATTGGTCCAACAGAGCCATCCCACTTCTTCTGGATGCTGTGGCTGACTTCACCCCAGCTCAGGCAAACATCATGGTCCTGCACAAGAGACTCCGCGTGAGGGAGGTTGGTATCACAACCATAAAGACTGAGAGAGTTTTTCAAGATGAGATTTTACTTCAGTCACAGAATTAAATCAGTGACCTACAGTCACCTGCAGGGCTTGGATGTGATCACCCAGTCATCCAAAGAGGCAGAGAAGACTTGAACATGCATCTCTCACATACCAAGAAGTTGCCCCGATCATCTTGCTATAAGTAGGCTGAAAGGAAACATGATGCATGCCCACACATACATACACATCCACAATTCTACCCAAGACCTGGAAATTTGTCCGGATTAAGGCTGGAGAACCCCAACAAATGGTTTGATTTCAGTTTATAAACAACAGATAGACACTGAAGTATATTTCACCCAAAAAATCTG